GTGACTTTATCCTCTGGAGCTCATGTCACTCATTTATAAATGCGAGTCATGACAGTGCGTGGTTTATAAACAGATGCCTTTGAGGACCGGGAAGTTATACACAGAAGGTTTAAAGTGCTCCACAAAGTACCTAGCACGTAATGAGGGCTCAGTAAATATTGCCAATGATTATTGTAAGAGGGAGGCACTTTATACCTCCGATTCTAGCATGAGGAAGGTAGGGTGGGTTACCGGAGGAAGAGGATTGAGTTAGACAGATGGGAAGGGCTATCTCCCAGCAGAAAGGACTGCCTGGGCAAAAGGTTAGAGAGGAGCTGTGAATAGTTGCAGATAGCTGAGCAGAGAGGGCAAAATGGATGGTGATAGGTGATGAAGGCTCTCTTTTTTTTTTAAGATTGATTTATTTATGCATACCAGATCTGGGACACAGGCCAAAGGTATGGGGGTACGTGTAAGAGAGGACTCACCAGAGACAGAGTGGGGAGCAGAACAGATCGACTGACTGAAACACACTGCTGAAGAGAGCAGCAGGGAGACAGGAGAGGTCTGCTGTGCCCTGTGGATCAGGTCCCTGGCCGGGGATCAAACTCGTGCTGCAGTGGCTGCCGATAGCTTCATAGTACTGACACTTAACTCCTTGCTGCCGATAGCTTCATAGTACTGACACTTAACTCCTTGCACCATCAGGGAGGCCCGTTGATGAGGTTTCTAAGCCCTCCAGAGATTCAGCATCCAGGTTGAGGGTCCCTGTAGGACTTCACGCTCAGGGAATGGAGTGGGTCTTCATCAGTGGCTGAACTGTGTCACTTTGGATCAGTCTTCTTATCTTCATTTGAAATTATAAGGTGTCTGATCTTTTATTTCATAGTGCTAGTCGGTATTGTTCACATTTCAAACATTAGGAAAGACGAAAAACGGTAGCACAATGAATATAGATTGTTCTTTTATTAATTCACTTGCATGACAAATTACCCCTAAACTAGGTCACTTGTAACAATAACCATTTGTTGCGTCCAGCAATTCTGAGGGTCAGGGGTCTGGGAGAATCTTGGCTCAGAGTCTCTCATGAGGCTGTAGAAGACAGCTGTCAGGACCACCTCATCGGAAGCCTCCACTCTGGCAGGAGGGCCTGCTTCCAAGGTGCTGCCCTCGCCTGGCTGTTGGCTCAAGACCTCAGCTCTTCACCATGTAGGCCTCACCACAGCACTGCCTGAACTTCCTCACAGCATGCCGAGCTGCCCCGCACCCCCGACTGAGGGACAGGGGGTGCAAGGAGGCAGGTTGCAGTGCCTGTATGATCTAGTCTCCAAGCTACACATGATCACTTCTACTCTATTCTGTTTGTTAAAAATGAGTCATTAAGTGCAGCCCACCCTTAAGGGAAAGGAATTAGGCACTGCCTTTGGAAGGAATGTAGAGAGTTTATTTATTTATTTATTCATGCATACAGAACTGGGGTACAGGCCAGCGGTGCAGGGGCAGTGAGAAGATTCACCAGAGACAGAGTGGGGAGCAGAACAGCTGAATTGACTGAAATACACTGTTGAGGGGTGCAGTGGAGACACACGAGAGGTTTGCTGTGCCATGTAGATAATTTCCCTGGGTGGGGATAGAATTCGTACTGCAGTGGCTGTGGAGAGCTTCCCAGTGCTGTGCTTCAATGCATTGCGCCACCAGGGAGGGCCCTCATGGTATTATTTAATATCCAGTTCATGTTCAATTTTTGTGATTGCACTAAGATTTGGGAGGGGGGCAGGAGCAGAACCAGATCAAATCAACGTTTATGTACTGAATGCAAATCTTTTCCTCTAATCCCTTTTAATGTGAATCTTGTTTATTTTTTAAAAGATTTATTTATTTATGCAAACAGAAATGGGGTACAGGCCAGAGGCTCAGGGGCAGCGAGAGGAGTCACCAGAAACAGAGCGGGGAGCAGAACAGGCAGATTGACAAAGTCCACTGCTGAGGGGAGCAGCGGGCGGGACAGCAAAGGTCAGCTAGGCCATGTGGATCACCTCCGGGGTGGGGATCAAACATGCACTGAAGTGGCCTCGGCTTGGCTTAGCTCCGCAGTGCAGCACTCCAACCCGCTGCACCACCAGGGAGGGCCCAGAGCCTTGTTTATTTTTCAGAACACTTGACTTTCTGGGCACCCAGCCCAGCTGGCTTAGAGAATGTCCCACATTCTGGAGCTGTCTCTTTCCTTGTCATGTTGTTTCATGTTTTACTCCCTTCTGTAGTTCCTACAGAGAAGAGTTGGAGGTGTAACACAACTTTTTTTTTTTTTAAAGATTTATTTATTTATGCACACAAGAACTGGGGTACAGGCCAGAGGTGTGGGGGGTGAGAGATTTTACCAGAGACAAAGCAGGGAGCAGAACAGGCAGAAATATACTGCTGAGGAGAGGTCTGCTGCACCAATGGGTCAGCTCCGTGGCCAGGGATCAAATGCGTACTGCAGTGGCTGCGATCACAGTGCTGCACTTTAACCCACTGTGCCACCAGGAAGGGCCTTTTTTGTTGCAAAAGTCAGCCCTATTACTGAAAATTTGGAAACTAGGGGTAGATTCCTCCAAGCAAAGAAAGACCATTGTTCGAATTTTGCCTCGAGTCCCATGGCATGCTTTCTACGTATGATAAGCCAGCAGGCTAACAGTATAGTCCTTGCATTTTTTTTAAAGATGTATTTATTTGTGCATACAGAACTGGGGTACAGGCCAGAGGCCCAGGGGCGGTGAGAGGCTTCACCAGAGACAGACTGGGGAGCAGAACAGGCAGATCGACAAAGTACACTGCTGAGGGGAGCAGCAGGCGGGTCATGAGAGGTCTGCCACACCTTGTGGTCACCTCCGGGGCAGGCGGGAATCGAACTCATGCGGAAGCGGCTTTAGATTCTGGGTGCTGTGCTTTAACCCGCTGTGCCACCAGGGAGGGCCAGTCCTTGCATTTTTACTCGAACTCTAGTGTAGTGGTCTAGCTGGCCTATGATCTTACCTTGTCCTGCACTTTATCAGGGTTAGTCTGTGAAGCCAATAGCAAATAGCAGATTCAGCCCCAGTCAGGCTACAGACTGTGAGGAGATGAGAGGGACAGCTCAAAACCCTGGACACAGTCATCATCTGGAATGTATCCAAATAGATCATGGTCAGAACCATGAGCCAAGCCCATGGGAAGCACTGCTGAGGCCACCTCTCACATGAGCTCCATGACATCTCTCCAGGAGCTGGGGGCCCAACGCCTGGCCCAGACATGCAGGCGATGTGAGTGAGGCTTCCTCCTTTCCCAGCAAGAGGATCTGATTGGGACTCCAGGGCCTGACTGGGACCGTGAAGGAAGATAAGAGGAGCTGGACCGACCACCTGCTGGAGTCTGATCGAACAGAGGGACACCCACGGACACTGGCAGGGAGTTGGATTTCCAACACCAGCATTGTAAGGCTCAGAAGCAGTGTCATGTGACAGTCATCAGGACAGAGAGGACGGTCAGTCTAAACAAGGAGGCATGGAACCCAGAGACCAGACCAGAAGACAGGAGTCCCCTCTACCACCAGAAGCTGCAAATAAAGGAGTCGGAGATCCACGCCACACCCCTGCCCTACAAGCTGTTTCTGAAGCGCTCTGCGGTGCTACCTGCCCCCCGCTGCTCCTAGGAATTTGAGCAGTCCAGTGTGCTTCAGCCCAGGAGCTTAGAGGCTCACCCAGGAAAAGGACAAGCTTCCAGGACACAGCTCGTGGGCTGACCATCCATCTAGGGTGTGCAGTGCGGGTGGAGCTACAGCGATTGCGCAGGGGAGGGAGGCATGCGGGAGAGGGCAGGGGTCGGCAGGTGGAACACCCTCAGGAGGACCGTGCCTGGGGGAACAGTGACTTTACAAAGATGACTGACATAGTAAGGGAAACAAGCCAATGTCAGAAATAATGGTACGACACTTCCAATATTAGGTTATAAAAAGGGAGGCACTTCCCACCCCCAACCGCCCCTCACCGCTGTCACTCTTCTCCTTTCCAGATCCCCCACCCCCAATTTCACTGCTGCAGAGGAACCTAGCTGCCATGGCCTGAAGGCACTCCAGAAGTTTATAGAAAGATCCCTGTACACGCATCCTGTAGCCTCTGGCCAACAGCCAACAAGGAACCAAAGCTTGCTAACACTATTTCCACTGAGCCTGGAAGCTGATCCTCCCTCAGTAGATGCCTGTAGATGAGACTGTACCCCTAATGGACACCTTGACCATCACAACCTTAAGCCAGAACCACCCAGCTAAGCCACTTCTGATGCTTGATATACAGAAATCATGTCCTTTAAGCAGCTCTATGCAGTAATTGTTAACTAGTCCACATCCTCGTGGAGTTTTCCAATTGCTATTATTTGGTTCCCATCCCTGATGTACATTTGTATTTAAATTTAATCACTTTGCTATTACTGACAACAGCTGTTTGATAGCGCCTAATGGCCAGGCTCATTCAGAGGGCCTGGTGGTTTTAAAAATGTGTCTCCTGTGTGTAATCCCCTCCGCTGATGTCACAAACTGCCTCCACCCCATCCTGTTTTCCATTTTATTTTTTTCCATAGCACTTAATACCATCTACCTACATAAATTTTATTTTACTGTCTTACCTCACCACCCCAATCCAAACAATCACGCGCCCTCTCGAGGTCCGGGATAAAGTGGTAAATCTTTCAAACTGCATCATCAGCCTTACAGTTGTGCTACGAGGGGATGCTAGTCTTATGCTCACCCCATGGGGTACAACAATTCTTAGATCCCCTCAGTGCTCTCTGGCCAATCTCTCATTTCCTTAATTTAAGCCCCTTAGGGGTCATGGTAGATCCAAAGGTGGGGCTACCGAGGTATGGCCGTGAACATCCCCACAACGAATTTGGATTTTATCACGTAAGCCAACCAGGGAAGTTTCTAGGGCCGGGTAAAGGGCGGGACTAGCGCCTTCTCCGTGAGCTCAGTCGGCCGGTACCTCCCTCGCCAATCTCTTCTCTTCCAGAACGCAGTGGAAGGCGCCCAGGCACAACCTCCAGACTGGAGCGCACGCGTAGCCCCTAGCAACGCCGTCCGGAAGAACCACAGAGACACGACCCGTGAGTGCAGAGTGGCCGCTCGGGGACAGCGAGGAGCGGAGAGCTAGAGTGGCCTATTGTCACGTGGGCGGCCGCGCGGAGGCGGGACTTCCGACAACCAGGTATTTTCTTTCCGGTTGTTGGTTTCTGCCGGCCCCTCCCCGACTGGGCCCTGCGCCCCCTCCCCCCCGCGGCCCCCCGCCGCCGGGCCGCCGCCACTATGAAGAAATTCTTCCAGGAGATCAAAGCCGACATCAAGTTCAAGAGCGCGGGCCCGGGTCAGAAGCTCACGGAGTCGGTGGGGTAAGTGACGGGAGCTGGGACTACAGGCCTGGGGGCGTGGACGGGCCGGGAGGCTTGAGAGGCCTAGGGTCGGGACGGGATGGCCGAGGAACTCGGGGTGGGGAGAGACCCTAGGGGCGGGACGAGAGGGGCGGGGTGGGAGTAAGGGGGCAGGGGAGGCCTCCGGGGGCGGGGCGAAACCCAAGGGGGCGGGGCAAGGAGGGCGGGACTGTAGGGAAACTTGGGGGTCGGTGGAGAGATTGGTCACTGACTAAGGCCCTTAGACATAAGGGAATCGCCATGGCCGGAGAGTGGAAGCTGTTCCCGGCCAAGCGAGTGCGGCGGGGTGGCAGAGTCCTGAGGCTTAGCATCCATGCGTGGGGGTCTGGGCCCCGTGGAGCCGGTGGGAGGACTAGGGGGTCTTCTGGAAGGCTTGTAACGGACTGGGGAGCTCTGGGTGAATTAGAGGTGCTGGGAGGAGAATGGGAGCCAGAGGGTCCTAAGGGGGATCTGGAAGGAGGCCACACATGTGGGCCTCAGGGACTTGTTCCTGGTAGACTTAAAGAAGGAGAGGCCTGAGCTAGGCCGGAGGAGACTCAGAGGTGTGTGTGGAGGATATAGTGGAGGGGGGCAGATGAGGATGGAGACTGTGTAGGATGTGAGAGGGGCGTCTGGGAGAGGCTGAGCTGTTGCAGGGAGCTGCAGAGGGGTGGTAGGAGCTAGTGTGTGACAGAGAGAGAACGTGACAGAGAGAGCGAGCGCGAGAGAACCGAATGAAGCATGTGCGTGAGGTGGGGTCTAGTGACTGGAGAAAGATGCCAGCCTGGGCAGGGCTTTGTGAGGAATGATGGAAGAGATTGTGAGGGGGACTGAGACTGTGAGGGGCGGGGAGGGGCAGGAAGGCAGGCTGGAAAGGGGGCGGAGGGACTCAGTGGGGGTGGAAGAGGAGTGTCATCAGGGCATTTGCTGCCAGGATTGGGGGCAACGGGGGTTCTTGGGTAGGAGCGTGGAGGGGGATACAGGAGGTCATGAGGGCCAGGACTGAGTGAGACCTTGGAGAGGAGACCTTGTTGGGAGAGGGGGGCAGGTTTGAGGAGCCCCAGCTGGGACGGGGAACCAAGAAGATTCAGACTTTTGTGATCAGCTGGAACACGAGAGGAAATACTGTATATGGGGAGGGCACATGCCTATGTTTGGCTCAGGACTCACCTCCTCGAGGCGGCAGATGGACAAGCGAACCAGTAAACATGATGGAGGAGCAGGGGTCAGTGCGAGGGAAAATCCTCAGGGCAAGGGGTACTGTTAGGTGTCTCTCTGGGAAGGTGGAATTTGAGCTGAGAGCTAGAAAGCTGAGCCTCAGTCCTGTGGAAATCAGCCCTTCTTTCTCTCTCTCTCTGTCTCTCTCTTTCGCTCTCTCACACACACACAGAGCAGCTCTATCCTCTCCCAGATCCCCCCCCCCCTTTTTTTTTATCCCATCTGCACACAGAATATTCTTGGCAGAAGGCTCTGTGGTAGGAACCTCTTGGGCCTGTGTGAAGGACGGCAGGAGAGCTGTGCAAGGAAGAGACATCTGTAGGGAAGTGAGCACGATGTGGAGGGCTCTGTAGATCTGTGGGGAGGAAGGCGGCTTCCATTGTGCGTGCAGCTGGGGGGCTTTATGCAGAGGCATTACATGCGCTGGCTTAGGCTTCAGGGGACCCCTTGGACTGCCCAGCAGAGCCTTGAAGAGATCAGATGGGGGTTCTTGGAAGATCACATTTTTATAGAAAGATCTGGAGGCCACATGGAGCTAGGCAGTTTCACATGACTCAGCTGTGAGGCGGGCCAGAGGGGCTGGCCCCGGTGGCCTGGAAGCAGGCCTCGGAGGCTTTGGGAGAAGAGAAGAGAATTGAGCTGCCTGTGTCTCTAGTGGAACAGGAGGAAGGAAGTCCCCACCTGACAGCTGGACTCCGAAGGGTCGACAGTGTAGCATAGGGGCTGGGAGAGGCCCCTGTGTGGGGAGAGGCGGGACCTCTCTGCTGGAACAGTCAAGCAGGTTGACTATGAAGCCACGCTCCCTGGGGGCAATCACATGCTGTGTCCATAGGGTGGAGGTGGGATCTTAGTAACTTGTGGGACCCAGGACTGGCATGTGACGTGGGGCTGCTGCCTGAAATACCACCCTCAGGTGGTGGAGGGGACTCCTAGGACCTCTCAGAGGAATGTTGGTGCGAGGACACAAGCTGAGCCATAACCAGCTCCCTCCTGCTGCTGGCACACAGCCGGGGCTCAGTGCAGGACCCTGATGTCGTGGCCCTTGTGGAGAGTCCGGGTGGCACTCCTCCCTTGGAAGGTGGCGAGGAGAAGGGGTGCAGCCTTTGGTTCTCAGCGATTCCTGAAGACGGAAGGATGCCCACACATGCTCCCCGTCGGCTCCTGGGGGCCGGATGCTGTTACCCCACTTAACAGACATGACTCTGGGACCAGATGGGGTATAGGACTGTGTGAAGGGGAGCTGAATTAAATCTAGCTCCAGGGCTAGTACACCTGCTAGAATCTTCTGGGGGCTGTGCTGACTGCTGGGAAGGAGGGACGTGTCTGACAGGGTGGGGGAGCAGAAGTGGGAGAGGGATGGAAGTTCTGCCACGTAATCCCACATCAGCTCTTGTTCTCTCTGTCTCCAGGGAGAAGGCCCCCAAAGAAAAGCCCACTCAACCAACCCTCAGGCAACCCCGCCAAGGCCCCACCGATGAGGCACAGATGGCGGCTGCGGCGGCCCTGGCCAGGCTTGAGCAGAAGCAGCCCAGAGCCAGGGGGCCCACATCTCAGGACTCCATCCGGAATCAGGGTGAGCCGTGATATTCTTGGGCCGCAGGTACAGGAGTGGTAGAGCAGGGCCTGTGCACGTCACACTCACCTCGGTCCTTGACATTGGGCCACTTTGTGCTTGGCCCTGGAGGAAAGTCAACCCTTAACCCGTGACTGCCGGGGGATGGTTAAAGATCAGTTGTGAGAGTGTTTTCAAAGGGGAGACGCAGAGTGGAACAGCACAGGAGGAGGGAGAAGAGAACTTGGAAACACAGAGGAGCAGGGGGAGGACGAGGTCAGGCGGAGGGGCCGGCACTGGTGCCCTCCTGGGAGCAGGACTGAGCATCACGCCCTGGAGGGGCGGAGGCAGCACCTAGACTCAGCTGGTCCGGGAGCGGCCAGCCTGGGGGCCAGGCCCTGACCTGTCTCTCTGCTGTGTTCCTCCTTCCAGTGAGAAAGGAACTGCAGGCTGAAGCCACTGTCAGTGAGAGCCTGGAGGCCCCAGGGACTAACGTGGTAAGAGCATCCGGCAGCATGGCTGCTGGCGCCGGCGGGGGGCTGGGACCGCGGAGCTGCCCGAGTCTAGTCGGCCGCGCCCTCACCAGCGGCTGCCAGTTCTGGGCTGTTGGTGCTGGACTTGGCCAGGGAACAAAGAGCAGACAATAGGGCTGACCAAATTGGGGTACAGGCCAGAGGTCTGGGGGGGTGGTATGTGTGTGAGAGAGGATTCACCAGAGACAGAGTGGGGAGCAGAGCAGGCAGATGGATGAAGTATACTGCTGAGGGGAGCAGCGGGGAGACAGGAGGGGTCTGCTGCGCCCTGTGGGTCAGCTTCCTTTTTGGAGATGGAACTCGTGCCTCAGGGGCTGCTGACAGCTTCATAGTGCTGTGCCCTAACCCACTGCACCACTAGGGAGGGCCCGACTAAGGTTACTTCTGGCCTGAAGGCAGGTTGGGGAAGCCTTGAATGGTGTCCGTGGATTGTAGCTGAGGGCGGTGTTGATTGATTCTCTGACTTAGCACCTGAAGCCCCAATGCTGAGGGGAAGGCTGGACTCCCCTGGTGGTTCCCTTGAAGGTGGGCGCCTTTAGATTCTCATTTTTCAGAAGCCTGAGATGGAGAGGCAAGCCTGCTGTCCCTAGTCATATACTCAAACCAGCGGGGGCAGGGCAGGGGGCCAGACTGTCTCACTGCTGCTCCCATCCTTAGCCCTGCAGCCTGCTCAGAGGTAGGCGGCTCCCTGGATGCTGGAGTAATCAGGGCGACCTTCCTGGGGGAGGCCTTGAAGGAGAGCTTGACAGAAAAAGTATTCTGATCAGCTCAACCTGTGATTCTCACTGAGTTTTAGAATGGAAGAGACCCTACACATTGCCTAGGAATTGAGGCCCAGAGAGAGGCTGGAATTATCCAGGACACTGTGACTCCTGATTCTCACCCCAGAGCCTATTTCTTACCAGGCAGGAGACAGGAAGAGACCGAGCCAGTGCTTGCTGCCTGCACCATGTCAAGCTCCCATGTGCTCTGTTCCCCACCTTGTTTAACTGTAGGACAATTTACAGACCAGAAAACGATCCAGAGATGTTCAGTCCTGGGCTAGGTGTCCTGTGGTGCTGGGGTCAGGCATGTCTGGTTCCAGGGATACGTCAGCACTGTGGCACTTGGTGACTTGGGAGTGGGGAGCCTCTATCCACAGTCGAGACTCAGACACTTTCACCACCCCATGACCCCAGGTGCCTGAGCCCAGAGGAGAAGTCTCCACCCACCTAACTGTGCCTGGAGTGTACTTCACCTGCCCACTCACAGGCACCACTCTGAGGAAAGACCAGCGCGAAGCCTGTGTCAGAGAAGCCATTCTCTCGGTGAGTGGTGCCCTATCCCCGGTGCCAGGGCCCCGACCACCTTCAAGAAGCTCACCTGGGTGACGCAGATTCCTTATAATGTCCCTGCTTCTGTGGTGTTTGTCTTTCTGGGGGGTTTTGTTTGTTTTTATGAAGATTTATTTCTGCATACTGGGGTACAGGCAAGAGGTGCAGGAGGTGAGAGGCTTCCCCAGAGACAGAGCGGGGAGACAGAGGTCTGCTGTGCTGTGTGGTCACTTCCTGGCCATGATGGAACTCGTGCTGCAGTGGCCGCCAACAGCTTCATGTGCGGCGCTGTAACCCGTTGCACCACCAATGGGTGTTTCCATTTTAGTCTAATGAGGTAATACTTCCAAGCAGTACAGAATCTGTCAAAAAGGGCAAAAGATGGAGAAAAGCACCCCCTCGCCCCAGGCAAGCATCATAAATGGCTTAGTCCCTTTTTACATATATTCCAAATCTATGCAGACTCTTCCTATACTTTCATCTTCTCCCGATTCCTTCAGATTTTATTTTAAAAGTCACTGCATCATTCCCTTATAGAAAATGGAGGTATTTTGGTATAGAAAGAAATCCCACGTTGTTTTCCTTAAAACTATTTGGAGGTCCTCCCTGGTGGCACAGTGGCTTAAGCCACAGCACTGTGAAGCTCTGTGCAGCCCCCTGCAGCACAAGTTCAATCCCTGGCAGGGAGGGACCCCCAGGGCGCAGCAGACCTCGCCTGTCTCCCCGCTGCTCCCCTCAGCAGTGTGTTTCAGTCCATCTGCCGACTCTGCTCCCCACTCTGTCTCTAGTGCGTTGTCACCCCTGTGAACCACACAACTCTGGCCTGCACCCCAGCTCTTGTATGCTCAAGTAAAAAAATAACTATAGTTGGAAATAACTTCAAACTTAGTGAAAATTGCAAGAACAAAAAACCAAACCAAAACAAACACCTGAACACCTCTACCCGGGGTATGATACCCTGTTACTGTTAAAGCTCTCTGTGAGATCTGTGGCTTTGCAAGGCATTTACTCCCTGCTGGTTCTGGAAGTCAGGAGCCTGACGTGGGTCTTAACGGGACTAAAATCCAGGTGGCAGCAGGTCTGGTTCCTTCTGGAAGCCCTCGGGGAGGGTGATCTGCTGCCTTCTCCAGCTTCTGTGCTGCCGGGTTCCCGGGCTCGTGGCCTTTCACTCTGGTCATGACCAGCGCTGACAGGCCGAGTGGTTCTCAGGCTTCCCTCTCTGCTCCTCTCTCCTGCCCACCCCCGCCTGGTAAGGGCCCTGTGGCAGCTGGCCCAGCAGGGTCATCCAGGCCCATGTGCCTGCGCTTGAGCATCTTCTGCCCCTGCCGTGCCACTCCTGCATTTCCAACTCCGGCACTGGAGCGCAGCTTGCTGTGGCCTTCCCCAAATTTGCCAGGTGGTAACAATTCTGCCGCATTTGCTCTCACCAACCCTTTTTTTTTCCTGCACTATTTGAGTGATTGTATAATGCTCTATTTCTAAATTCCCGGTAATTTCATAACAAGCATGTAGAAAGTTTTTAGTCTTTGGTAGTAAGAACAGTTAGGCAATGAAAAACTTTCCATAGGCTACATTCTAGAAACGGCGTTCCTGGGACACAGGACCAGTGCTTGGGATTGACGCCGTTTTAGCCACTTGGGCCTCGCGAGGGCCATCCCGGTTACGTTCCCGGTAGCAGAGTGAGGTTACGTTCCTGGCCCGCACCGCCACTGTGGCTTAACAGACTCTAGGCCCTTACCCAGTTAGTAGGTAAACCTGGTTATCTGAGGACATTTTTTTCCATTTTTGAGCTCTGTTTATGGACACCTTGTCATCTGGAAATATCTTTTCCCCTTGTAGAAATTTTTGATCTCTACAGAAGTAAATGTGTCAGTTTGAGTAATGGCTTTTGGATTCTGTGTCATTCTTAGGCCCAAACTTGGCATTAATTTTTCCATGGATTTTCTAGGGCTTCTTTGTGTTCTTTGTTGTTAGCTTTGTTTCAATGTTTATTTTTTTTAAAGATTTATTTATGCATATAGGAGCTGGGGTGTAGGCCAGAGGTATGGGGGGATGGGGGGATGAAAGGATTCAACAGAGCCCGAGTGGGGAGCAGAATCGGCAGATCGACTGATACCCTGCTTGAGAGGAGCAGCAGGGAGAGAGGAGAGGGCTGCTGCGCCCTGGGGTCACCCCCGGCTGGGGGTGGAGCTCATGCTGTGGCGGCTGCGCAGTGCTGGGACCCCACCTCTGCACCGCCTGTGTAGAGGATGAGGCATGCAAAATGTAAGACGTGGAGCCCCCACCCGTTTCCTTCCCTGACGCTACCCAATTTCCCCACCCCCACCTTTCTTTATTGAAAACGCCTGTATTTTGACACAGCTGTGACGTATACACCCTTTTCAAAAAGTAAAATCCTGTGTGGAGTTGGGTTCCTCTATACATTCTGTTCTTTGGCTTATGTCTACTCCTGTGCTGTGGTTCTGCTTTAAACATGGCCTCAGGTTGCCTGGAAGCACCTGAGAGCAGAGGTTCTTCCCTGGGGATGGCTTTGCTGGTCCTGAGAACTGTGGTCCTGACAAGGCTGAAGGTCGAGGCTTGGCCCACCCAGCCCGCGTAGCCGAGGCTGAAGCTGCCTCCCCCCCCGCTGCTGCGTTGGTTCTCACGGCCCGTCTTAAATAAGCGGATCCCAATTTGAAGTTTGCAAGAAGTTGACTCTGTGGGACTAGACTTCCAAATGACGAAATCCGTTGCTGAAGGCTCCTCCCCCACCATGCAGTTCAGAGGTGACTGGGGTGTCCAGAGGACCTGCCTGCCTGCCAGGAGCTCTGAGCCTCCAAGATGCCTCTTGGGTACATTTGGGTCCTGGGTCATCGGTGCTTGGAAACATCACCAGTGACCCTAATGTTCTGTGAGCCCCACGATCCCTTTAGAGCCCTAGCTGTGACGACTTCTTCCTCCAGAGAAGCAGGTGGAACACACAGGCCTGGGCTTGGTCCATGTATTGCGGCTTAGATTCCCTGCTGTGCACCGGACAGCCAAGGTCACACCACTCTTTACCTCACACCTCTGTCACCCTGGCTGAGGGGCTCCCTGCCTCTCATCTAAAATCTAGGGGTCATCCAGAAAGTCAGTCACAGGACTGGGATGTGAGCCGAGGAGAAATGACCTGGCCTCTGGCAGGCTGCAGGTGCTCAGACATTAGCTGCCCTCACGGGCTTGTTGCTGGACTTGGGTTCCAAAGCTGGACACGAGGGTGGAGGTCTGCATTGGATTGACCCCCGAGACGCCCCTCTTCCCCAGTGGTGGGCTCAGGCTGAGGCATCAGTGCAGCCATCACAGCTTTTCTCCTGTCTCAGAGCGTCCGTGACTGGGTTACTTCAGTTCATACTGCCGACTCCCCGCGCCCTGCCATGCTATTGGCACCTTGTTCACGGCGTCATGTGAGCGGAGGTGGCAGGGCAGCTGTGACCTGCAGTGACGCGCTCCCCTGCTCTCACCCCAGCACTTCTCCACTGACCCGGTGGCCGCCTCCATCATGAAGATCCACACCTTCAACAAGGACCGGGACAGGGTGAAGCTGGGCGTGGACACTATCGCCAAGTGAGTGGGCAGCCCCTAGGCACCCTGAGCTCCAGTGCCCCTCTCCCTCCAGACACCGCCCCCGGGAGCAGGGCCCCATCCGCCTCATTTTACCTGGGTAAAACGGGGTCTACTGAATTGGGAGGCTGCTGCCGCAGTGTGACGCCATCCATGTGACGACAGCGCCTGGCTGACTCCGGTTTCTTGCTCACCACAAGGCCAGGTGTGGCTCTGAGCTGCTGCCCCTTGTCCCTCTGTCCCACCCCAGGTACCTGGACAATATCCACCTGCACCCTGAGGAGGAGAAGTATCGCAAGATAAAGCTGCAGAACAAGGTGTTCCAAGTGAGTGCTGCCGTCCAGCGCGCCCCGCTTGCGGCCCCTGTGGTGACTCGGGCAGCCGTTGGTCGCCTGAGCTGGCCTGGGAGGGCTCCTCCAGGGGCTGCAGGGGGAGGCAGCAAAGGGGGCAGACGAGGTTGAGAGCTTTGTGCACACATACCCGAGCATCATCCGCACAGCCTGCTCCTGTCCCCTACTGGGGGAGTTTGGACTTTTCTGTCGCTTGGGAACACGTCCACACTGAGCAGCGGGGGAGCTCTGTGGCGTCTCTGACACTTGCGCTTTGCAGGCGACTTTGGGGTTTGTCCTATCTCAGAGCCAGCAGCTCCTAGGTGGGGGGGACTCTAGGCTGTGTAGAGCTGGGAGCTGACAAGGCCGGGAGCCCTGCTGACCGCATCCTCACTCCCAGGAGCGTATTAACTGCCTAGAAGGGACCCACGAGTTCTTTGAGGCCATCGGCTTCCAGAAGACATTGCTCCCGGTTCCCAATCAGGGTAAGAGCAGCAGAGAGGGGCCTTGCTGAGCAGGTGGGTGTGGGAGGGGCCTGGCTGGGGCGGGGACCCCACTGACCAGTGGAGTGATGCCCCTGCCTGCCTCAGAGGACCCAGAAGAGTTTTACGTGTTGAGCGAGGCTGCCTTGGCCCAGCCACAGAACCTGGAGAGGCACAAGGAGCAGCTGCTGAGCGCTGAGCCCGTGCGCGCCACCCTGGCCCGCCAGCGCCGGGTCTTCCGGCCCTCGCCCCTGGCCTCCCAGTTTGACCTGCCAGGGGATTTCTTCAACCTCAGCTCCGAGGAGATCAAGCGGGAGCAGAGGCTGAGGTGGGCAGGGTTCCCTGGAGCTGGTTGGGGCAGAGGGAACTTGGGAGCGCTGGGCTTTGGCCTTCCTAAGCCTGGCTCTCACGATGCCCAGGTCTGAGGCTGTGGAGCGGCTGAGCGTACTGCGGACCAAGGCCATGCGGGAGAAGGAGGAGCAGAGAGAGATGCGCAAATACACGTACACGCTGCTCCGTGTGCGCTTCCCTGACGGGTGCCTCCTCCAGGGTGCGTGTGTGGGGCTGGGGCTGAGGGGACGGCCCCGGGAGCCTCTTCTGGGGCAGGTGGCATCTGTGGCGATGGGTTTGCCGTGCTGCCTCTCCAGGAGAGAGGGCTTTCTGTCCGAGCACCGCCCAGAAGATAGCCCAGCCGCCTTCAGATGCTTCCGATCCTGATGGCTCAGGGGCTAGGGGCCCTGGGGGCTCCACAGGCTGACACCCCCACCCCCTTTACCTCCCAGGAACCTTCTATGCCAGAGAACGGATGGCGACTCTTTACGGGTTTGTCCGGGAGGCCTTGCAGAACGACTGGCTGCCTTTTGATCTGCTGGCCTCGGGTGGGCAAAAGCTGCTGGAGGATGAGAACTTGGCCTTCAATGAGTGTGGGCTGGTGAGTGGGGGGGGCGCCCCCCAGGGGCCTGCAGTTCTTCTGCATCTGGCAAACCCTAAGAGGCGGTACTCTAGTTTGGGAGGTAAAAGGAGCAGGGTCCCAGGCCAGGCCCCCTGGGCTTCACCTGCTTTTCTACTTAACTCGCAGTGTGAGCTTGAGGGAGTAACTCTTTTCAGTTTTCTACGTATAAAATGGGAAACACTGCAAATGTGTTAATTCTGGTCCTCAGAGGAGCTGGAACTCAGATGGGATTTGAAACGGAGGGTTTTACAGAGGAAGCAGGAGGCCTGGGCAGGAATTCCCACTGCTGCCTGGTGGGTGGGGGACCCCTCCCTGCAGGAATGGGCCTGACGGGGCTGTGCCAGGAGGGGGCAGCACCCGAGTGGGGCCCAGTCCCGTCCCACTCATTTCTGCCCCATTGCAGGTGCCCTCAGCTCTCCTGACCTTCTCCTGGGACGCGGCTGTGCTAGAGGACATCAGGGCAGCAGGGGCCCAGCCGGACTCTGCCATCCTGAAACCCGAGCTCCTGTCTGCCATCGAGCAGCTCGCGTGAAATAAAAGCAGGGTTGGCTTCCCCCACGGGTCTGTCTCATGCGCTCTTCACCCTCCACTGCCAGCCACCACCCTGACCAGGCTAGGCACTCCCTGAGGGCAGGGGTGCTGGCTGCTGCAGACCCGTGCCCGTGCCCCAGCCCAGAGGGCAGCTGCCTTGTGATCCTCAGTAGCACTGGAGCTCAGCCTTCTGCACCACCACCTGCCAGTGTGGGGGAGGCCTGGGCACTAGTGTGCTTCCCGCTGGGCGGGAGCTGGCCTGTGGCTGGAGCCCGTTCCCGGGAGGCCAGGGCCCAGGCGGCACTGAGGCTGCCTCGGGGGGCTCTGGTAGAAGAGGTACCAGGGCTGGCAGGACAGTTCTGTAATTATCTATGAACCCAAATAAAAGGAAGGTTGACTAGTCTCTGGTGGCTAATTCAAGGGGGTGAAGCAGGGGAGGGCCGGCCGCCTCAGCGGCTCCTGGGGAGGACACCTCTGGGGGCCGTCAGCATGCAGAAGCCACTCGGTGTTTCTGGGCACCTGGAAGGCGTAACTGCCCCAGGCCCTGCCACCTGTGCTGGCAGGTGTTCAGGCCCATTGGCTCACAGATGGCCCCTGCTCCCTCAGCGCGTAGGAGTGCCCCTTTATGTAGTAAAAAGGACTCTGCAAGGGGAGTGAGGATTTTGAGATGGGGAGACCGGGTTCTGCCCGTGGGCTTTGTGTTGTGCAGGGGCTCTTAACACGGGCGGCGGCAGGAGACAGCAAAGAGGCCACTCTGCAGGTTTCAAAGATGGAAGGTCCGGCGCCAACGATGCAGGAAGCCTCTGAAAGCCAAGGCAAGGAAGTGCACCGCTTCCCAGGGTTCCCAGGAGCCGCCTCTGCTGGTGCCTCGACTAACTCAGCGGGGCTGTGTAAGACCTGGTAGTGGGGGCGGGGGGGCTCAGGCCCTGCCACACGGCGGGGAGGACGCTGTGCCTGTGCGTGTCGCTCCCCACTGGAGCGTCCTGTTCCCTCCAGCCCTGGCCGCCTGTGACAGGCCTGGTGCTTCAAGGTTCCTCTGGTATTTTTCGACATCAAAAAGGGTAGGTTTGTTATAAACAGGGAGAGGGTCGCTGGCCCAGACGGCAGGCAGAAAGCTTTGGCGGGAGAGCTGCCGAGGCTCCTCTCACTGTGACCCCAGCCAGTGAGGCCCCACATGTGCCTCGGGGGCACCAGCAACTCTGGCTTACATCTGTCACCTGAGTCTCGTGGCAGTACCTGGGCCAGCCTTCCTCACCCTGCCTCACGAGCCCACCCGTTTCCTGTCCCTAATTGCTTCTAGGACGCGACGGCCACGTGTCAGATACCCAACTGAAATGAGTCTAAGAGGACCAGCCTGGGTTGGGTTGTCACACCCATGAGTCTAGTACAGAACGCTGCACCCCTTCTCCAACAGGAGGGTCAGCCGAGGGACAGGGCCCTCTCCCTGTAACTAGGGTGTTTGTCAAGCCCACTCCAACAGGGCTGGGGAACAACGACCCCTGGAAAACCAGCAAGCATCATGGCTGCCACATGGCAAGAGCCTAAGGGTAGTCACCTTGCTGTGGGCGAACTGCTGTGCAGCTGAATTGTCTCCCTTGGGGAAGTGAACAGAACTGGGCGCGAGGGGCTGGGAGGACGGGGCAGGTCACCAGGTGGTCCTGAGAACTTGGCCAAACTCGGCTCCCTGCCTTCAGCACACTGGGCTGCTCTCTGGGCCTTGCTCTGTCGGGCTGCTCCAGGGCCTTGAAGCCAGGGCTCTGCAGTCACTGGCCGGATCCACACGTCTGTTTCAATGCCTCCCACAGGGACCAGACCTTGTGGTCAGCTTAGCACCCAGGTCCTGGTGCTGGGATTATACCCTGCACACCTACCTACGGGCTGGGAACCCAGCTCCACGCGCCTGTGGGGAGGCCTCACCCACCCACCCACCAAAAAGACGACACCACCAGATCGGGCCAGATGAGCGTTTATACAGGTCTGCATTGGGGGACTCCAGTTCATTTACAAGCATCGGGGCACAGCGCCTGCTAGGGGATCCACGAGGCGTGGCAGGCCTTCCCCTCAGAAGTCGTTACATTGCAATAATGCTTTATTAAAGGGCAGGTTAATATGCAGCTTCTGGGGGGGAGTTTTTACAAACATTAAAAAGAACAAATCAAGCATCCTATATAAAACTTTCCAAACCTCCAGGTGAGGTCTGTGAAGCAGGACAAAGTGCTCTTTACACAGGAATCGTAGGACTTTCAAGTATCTGAGCGGCGTCGAGAGGACCCTAACCATCTACGTACATACACGGCAGCGGGTGCTCAGGACGGGCTCTCGCTGATGTCGATTCCCACGGAACTGCTGGCTCGGGCAGCGGTTTTGCACAGGGCCTCGACCACTGCAAGGCAAGACAGGAAGGGGGCTTTGGCCGGCCACACCCGCCAGACGTCCTGCTCCGTGCCAGCGGGCCCGGCACAGCTGGGGAACCTTCTTGGGGTGGGACCCCCGACTGACCGGGGAAAAGGAAAGGCCACAGCTCTCAGGTATGCAGAGCCTCAGGTCATTGGTTCCCCCAAGCCCAGCCACCCGGGCCCCTCCTACCCTGCTGCCCACCTTGCTGCCTGACACTCATCAGTAGCCTTCAGTTCTGACACCCTAAACGCAGCTTTCAGAGCAATGCAGCTCTCCCCCAGGGCCAGAACCAATATCCACACCCACGTGAGAACGGCTACCGAAGCCGTGGGGCCCTTCGGTGCGCCTGTGTGCCCTCTCTACAACAAAGGGCGCACGGGAGAGTGGGCAGTCACTCCGTCCTGCCAGACAGACAGCGGGGCCGGCCTTTCTCACCCGCAACACCTGAGACGTCCATGACCACACTGTCGCCGTCCTCCTCCTCCTCCTCCTCCGTGTCTGCTTGGAAGCCGTCCAGCTCCCCAGCCCCCACCTGGCCAGACAAGCGCAGACGGTTAACAGCAGCGGCAGACGGGAACGGCTGTGGGCCCCCACACTGCCACGGGCCCCCACACTCCTCACCTCCTTTACCCGTCTGGCACGCCTCTAAGTTCAAGGAGTGTGTTTGATGACCAAAGGAAACCTTGGGGCATTGTCTCAAATGAACAAATCAAATTCAGATCTCTCAGAACTACTGTTGCTTTTGACCTGATTGGAAACTAATTTGGCTTCTGACTTAGGATTTGAGGTTTCTGCTTTGCTTTGAAACTGAAATTGATGGAAGCACTCACTGTCTCTGAACTAAGGAAACTGGCAGGGGAGGTAGACAGGCTTATTTCAACACAGCGGCTATTTTCCAAGACACTTCTACAATGCCTCCATCACACACACAACAGACAACCGTGTGCCGGAGAAGGGACAGCCAAGTGCCAAGACAGCTCTGCAGACCATGTCCCGGGCTTGCTCAAGTGGCCCCTTCAGCTCCTGGTGTACTAGCTGCAGGGCCAGGTTCTGCAGGTGGGCAGACATGAGACACCCCAAGATAGGCGCTGCCCCTGGAAGAACGTTAAGGACTGTTTTCAAGTACCGGTTGCAAAAGAATTGTTTAACTGGCCAAGAAAGGCAAGACTGTCAAGCTTGCAACTGTGCTGGTGACAGCTACCTGGCATCAGGCGCGTGGGGTGGCCTGTTAAGCCACAGGAATAAAGACCTCCAGCACTACGAGTCCTGTGTAAAGAGCATATGCCCAGTCACTGGGCTCCACACAGGAGCTGCAGTGGTGATGAGTAAAGGTTTGTCTGGATCCAGAAAGTCTGCGGAGGAACCACCACCAACCTGCAGCTCAGAGGCCTGAAGTGTGAACTGGGGGCCCCCAGTCCCGCTGTGCTGAGTGCCGATGCAGAGGCGGCCAGAAGGACACGTGAGGTCCTCAGCAGTGAGGATGCTCGGTGATGGTGAAATGCAGACTGTGCGAGACCTGCTGAGCTGTTAGCTCCATTTTGATGACAGAATAATTTTACCGGAAGAGCCAACTAGATCTCCTTTTATAAAACAGTGGCTGGAAGAGACTGCGTTGCCCGAGCCCACACGGGTGGCTGGGTGGCCGGGCTGACATCAGCTGCAGCCACCACGGTCTCACTAGACCACAGCACTGCAGGTCCCACAGGTCTGACTGACTGCCTGGAAAGCTAATCATTTGAAAGTCCTCACAAATGAAAAACATCCAAACGAAACGACATAGCTGCACAGATTCACAGCTCAGCACCATCCTTCCCAAAGGGCTGAGAAGGACCGGCGGACGCCGTCGCCAGACAAGGGCTAGACCCACGTCCTCCCAGGCCTCCCACGCCACCCCCAGTTCCAGCTGCCTCTCCACGTTCTGCACATGCCGTGCGGTGGGGCAGGCGCTACGCAGTGGGCCCCCAAATGGCCTTCCACTCACCCTGCCAAGACCAGCCGAATTCTGTTCTGAATCCTGTGGTTAAGTCTCATGTCCCCAGTCCCTCCTGCAGCAAGGGCGCCCGTGCCTGCGCCTTGGGAGGACGCAGCAGCCCTCGTCCTGCTGGCTGGAGGCTGGAGGCAGAGCGCTGCCTGTGCCCACACAGCCCCACACGGAAGGCAGGAGCCTGGTCCTGGCCAGCAGTTACATGGACTCGCGCTTGCTCCCGGAGTCAGCCAGCAGGTCTGAACCACGTTCTAGAGGGCTGTCACCTGTGGCCAACACGATTCCAGAGGCCAAGGGCTGTTGAGCAAAGGGGCCCCACCTCCAGCACCCCGAGAACTGGGCTCACTACCACGGAACTGCTGAGACCAAGGGGCTCAGAGCTTCCCTCAAGAAGTGCCCGGTGGGTGCAGACGTGCTGGCCTGCGCTGTGATTCGGGGGCCTTCCCCTGGGTTCCGACACCTACGGGTCAGAGTCACTGGAGCTGGTGTTCCAGAACTCCAAACATTTTGAACCGCTCCCCCAGCAATGTGCATGCCAGGGCAGTTTCAGACGCCTGTAAATGAGTGGTTAATGCCCAACGGGGCCAGCACACAATTCACTGTGTGGCCTTCAGGGCGGCGCATCAGAGTCTAGGCACG